GCTGAACACCATGAGGTCGGCCTTGCCCGCCGCCTCGCCGACTCCCAGCTGGCGGCTGTGGCGCTGCGAGTACGACCAGCTGCCCACCTCGCTGGCGCACACCAGCGCCGCCTGGCCCGGCCCGCACAGCACCGCCGCCCGCGGCCGCCACCACAGCACCGCCGCCAGCCCCAGCGCCAGCACCAGGAGGCCTCACACGGCGCAGATGGCCAGGATCAAGTAGGCGTTCAGCTCCGACAGCGGTGCCTCGGCCCCGGCTGCCGCCGCCTGCTTGCTGTCCACCAGCGACACGCTGAGCGTGGCCATGGCACACAGCGCCGGCTCGCCGTGGTCCCGCACCAGCACCAGCAGGCTGTGCTGCGGCCCGTCCGCCTCGTCCAGGGGCTGCGCTGTGCGCACCTCGCCGCTGTACAGCCCCACGCGGAAGGGCCTAGTGCCACGCGGCTCCTGCAGCTTGTAGCGCAGCCACGCGTTGTAGCCCGAGTCCGCGTCCATGGCACGCACCTTGGCCACCACCTGCCCCGTGCCCGCCGACTGCGGCACCAGCACGGGCGCCGCGCCCACACAGCCGGCGCGTTGTCGTTGGTGTCCAGCACGAAGAGCTGCACCATGGCCCGGCCCCACAGGGGCGGCAAGCCCGCGTCCTGCGCCCGCACCTCGAACTCCACCACCTGCACCTCCTCATAGTCCAGCGGCTGCAGCACCCGCGCGCACCCGCTCGCCACCTCCACCGCCACCAGGCTGGACGCCAGCCAGCCCTGCGCGCCGCCCCCCGCCACCGAGTAGCTCACGGCGCCGTTCTCACCTGTGTCCCGCACCCGCACCGTCAGCATCGCCACGCCCGGTGCATTGTTCTCCCGCACGAACGCCGTGTACACGGCCTGCGCGAAGGCAGGCGCGTTGTTATTCATGTCCGCCACCGGCACGGCCAGGCGGCTGCTGGCCCCCAGCGCTGGCGCCCCCGCGTCACAGACCCACACCTCCACCTCGTAGGCCGCCACGCGCTCCCGGTCCAGCGCCTTGGCCAGCACCAGTGAGTAGGACTTGCGGAAGCTCGACACCAGCCGGAACGGCACCTCGGGCCGCAGCCACAGCATCACGGCCCCGTTGGCGCCTGAGTCCCGGTCCCGCGTGCGGACCAGCGCCACCACTGTGCCTGGCGCCGCATCCTCTGCCACCAGCACCGACAGCGGCGTCACCCACAGCTCCGGCACGTTGTCGTTCACTAATCCTTCAAAACTTTCCACTAATACATAAGATTTAGTTCTCTTCAGCCTTTCACACTGATATACCCAAAGGTTTTTAAGTTGTTACCTGTTTGTGATATATCAAGTTCATCAGCGTATAGATGGTGATGGGTAGGAAGAAGGTGAAGTTTTTCACTCAGTAGCTGTTGCATAATACTTGGACTACATAAGCATTTGGCTACACAGCTGTCATACTGCTCTTATTCATAAAGGAGGGTCAGTGCCATCTTTGGAAGGTCAGAGGCATGGGGCCAAGTGAGATGTCGAGAGGAGCTAATTACTGATCAGTAAGGGCTTCAGGCTAGAACAGCAGCTCTTGAAGATGATTACCCAGAGATCACAACCCTCAGAAGCTTGGATACTAATAATTTTGCTTCTTTTAGTTTTCCTTTCATAAACCAAAATATACAACAAGGGGCAGGTTATCTCTACAGAGGGAGCTTTGCTGAAATCTGAGGCCCTGTCTCGGGAATTCCTCTCATGGAACAGGCCACCCTCTGCAAGGTGGCACTTGAAATCGTGGGTTGTACAGACCCAGCTTTTGCAGTGAACTGTGGACATTTCACATATGGAATTCTATGAAATTCCTTCTTGTTTAGCAGGAGTAACTCGGCTGTGAGGCACAGCGTGATGTCAGCAGAGTACAAGGCATTGCCCTGCCATTGCAGAGGAGGGAGACACAGGTGGCACTTGTTTAGCCTGTATATTGATAAAGGATGGTTGACTGGGCATGACAAACTTGAGCTGTCTGCCATCACTATTAGCTGAACTACATTTTAAAAAAAATCTTTTACTGAGAAGCAGGAGCCTTGCCTGTAACTAGAAGCAACCCTCATGGCTCTCCAGGGATCTAGAAGACCTCCTAAGGCTAAAAACAAAGGCCTACAAAGGATGGAGGATGGGATTCACTTCTAAGGAGGAATATTCTACACTGGTCCGGTCCTGCAGGGAGCAAACCAGGAAAGCCAAGGCTGCAACTGAACTCCAACTAGCTTCGAGCATCAAGGACAATAAAAAGTCCTTTTTCAGATATGTGGGGAGCTGGAGGAAAAGCAAGGGCAACATTGGGCCCCTGCTGAACCAGATGTGACAGCTGATAACTGACGCCCAGGAAAAAGCCAGCCTATTAAATGGGTACTTTGCGTTGGTCTTTCATCAGTCCCATGGGACGCCCATGCCCACTGCGGAACAGGGAGGTCTGGGTGAGGGAGATCCCCTGTCCTCTATTAATGCTGACCTCATAAAGGAACACTTTGAGAGGCTGGATACCTTCAAGTCAGCTGGC